GAACAGGGGATACTTGCTTTAAAGTTATAATTTGGAACTCAGAAATAACACCCAGAGAGCAGGACTTCTGGGTATGCCTTAGCCTATGTGTGTGCAACTGAGTAAATCACATAACCCCAGTGCATGGACAAACACAAATATCTTGGTTGCTTAAGGTATCATACATAAAACGTAAAAAAGATTTACAAAGAAAATTGAAGGTCTTATGTCATATCCAAAGTTGATTTAATTTCACTAATGGAGAAAATCCTAAGTGATTTTTGTCCCTCTTTAAATCAGAAGCATATATACCCTCTGAGCTGACTAGAATTCTTTTTATAAAAAGGTAAGTTGCCTTTCAGAACTAATGCTATGCTCCTTGTTTAGGTAACAGCGATTAGTGTAAAACTGAATTAGGTACAGATTTCTCCGTCTAAAGTGTAGCGAGGGTCAAGTTTATATTTGTACTCTTAAAAACCAAGTTTAGATTTCACTGTATTTAAAATGATCTAAATAGATTATCTTTAAGTGTATAAATATTAATTATGAATGTATTAGTGACCCTGCTCTTTTGAATTTTAAGTATATGGATAGTTTTCCTCAAGGGATAGAAATTTAACTTTTTAATGAGAATATAATATATAGTGTAAAAAATACTGTCAAAAACCTAAAATATCCTGCAAATTTAAATATGATAAACTACTTAAAAATGCCTATCTTTTCATCTCCTTAAGAAATAAACACCACACACAAAGCTTTAGAAAACAGAGGAGTCAATGTTTATATATAGCTTCACTGTAAAAATGTAATTCACACAAAAAATGTCTTAAGAAAGAGAAAGAATGAATTAAACTTCTCACACTGAGAGTGCCGCCAGCCACTGGTTACAAAAAAGTGTGCATGCCTTCAATTCCTTTATTTAGTGTTCACTAAAAATGAGAGAAAAATAGTTGGATATGACGATTTCTTTTTCTACCTTTTAAACATTACATTTAAATAAATTTATTCTCTCTTCTTTTATAAAATAAGCACTGATGGTCCTAAATACTCCCTTTAAATTCTAATTTTACAACATCCCCAAAGATTTGATATGTGGTGTATTTTCATTGTTGTTTGGTTTCATATTTCCATTTGGATTTACTGGCTAAGTTAATTGAATTTCCATGTTTCAGAGACTTCTATGGTTATGCTTTTGTAAGTGTTATTTAAATGCCTTAATGCCCCAAAACATGATCAGTTGTTGAAATGTTCCATATATGCTTAAAAAAGGAGGCATCTCCAGGTGTTGGGTGCAGTGTTCACGATGCAACCCTGGTCACTGGTTGTACTGATTTGCCACATACTTCCTGATCATGCTGCTGGAACTCCCAGCCCCTCAGAGGTCAATGTTATTATCTCCTGCCCTCGTGCCAGATTTATCCATATACTTATTAATCCTGAGAATTTGTCCTTAATATATTTTGGGTTTGATCATGTTACTAAGATCATACAATTTTTAAAATGCTATATCTTTCTGAGTTATTGAACCTTTTAAAAAAATCTATTTTTAATAATGCTTTTCAAAAAAATCTTTAATAATGTACTTTGGCTTTTGGGGTAGATAATCTTAACCTACAATCTCATATGTTGTTTGTTAATTTGTTCAAAATGTATTTGTTCCCCCTTGATCTGCATCTGTATCACTTCCACCGGGCCAGTGGGCCCATGTCCTAACTGCTGTGATTTTTGGCAATTAAGAGCTCACATGGGGTGCCTGGATGGCTCAGTCCTTAAGCGTCTGCCTTCAGCTCAGGTCGTGATCCCAGGGTCCTGGGATTGAGTCCCACATCGGGCTCCCTGCTCGGCGGGAAGCCTGCTTCTCCCTCTCCCACTCCCCCTGCTTGTGTTCCCTCTCTTGCTGTGTCTCTCTCTGTCAAATAAATAAATAACATGTTTTTAAAAAAAGGATATAAAATATAATAACATATACCTAAAACATGGGAAGGCGAGGAGAAAAGAACAGGTTCAAAGGTAAACCACCACCAGCTTAATATAGGCTACTATATGCAGAAGAGGTTAGACACAAATCTAATGGTAACCATATATTAAAAAAACCACTAATAAATATGCAAAGAATAAAGAGAAAGAAATCCAAATATATCACAAAAGAAAATCAGCAAAACATGAAAGACAAGAAAGAATCAGAGAAAAATCTTCAAAACCACCATGAAACAAGGAATAAAATGGCAATAAATACATATCTATCAATGATTACTTTGGATGCAAATGGACTAAACTCTCTAACCAAAGACATAAGGAGACAGAATGGATTAAAAGAAAAATAAAAAACAAACAAAAAAAACAAGAGCCATCTATATGTGTTTTGTTTTGTTTTGTTTTTAAGTTTGTAGTTGACGGCTGTGATGATTTCAGTTGGCTTGTGAATCACCTTATCCTGGACCCACTTCCTCAGTATGCCCCGCACCATGCGATCACAAGTCACACTGCCACACTGGTGTCCTGTTGGGGTGGGCTGCAAATAGAAATGGATGGCTGTCAGCTGCAGGGGGTGGTCCTCAGGGCCAGCAGCACACACCTCAAGGCACCATGGAGTGGGCTCATTTGTCTTGCTCCTCAGGGGGCCCCCGAAACATACTGAAGGGCTCTGTGGACAGACCTTCTTGTCTGGAATTCAGAGTTAATTCTGAGTCCAGACCTCAATCTGGGCTGGGGACGATGTCTGCAACCCTAGAGTGGTCTGGGAGGGTGGGTAGGGACTTCCTCCCTCTTGGGGAGTGTGAATTTGCCCAGGATCTGGTCCATCGTGAGACCTTAGGCGGCGGCCAGCAGAGCAGTGCACATGGATGAGGAACACTGACCAGGGAATCAGAGTGAGCCGGGGACCGGCATAGACTGCCTCTCCGGGAAGCTAGCGCCTTCCTCTCCAGCAGATCCCACAAGGGTATCATGTTTTATGGGTACTAGCTCTATGTAGGATTCTGTGGTTTCATCTGCCACCTTGATGAAGCCATAAACTCAGCTGCAGCCTCCCATAGACACCTGCCCAACTGAGGCTCCAGCCCCCAGTGATCAGTCGTTGCTGCCAAGGTGGCGGCTCACTTCAGCTGACACAGTTTCCCTTCTGGGGTCCAGCTTTCTCCTGGTTTTGACGTATATACGCTTCCTTATGTTGTCAGCACAGCCATTCTTTTAAAAATACATGTTTGTAATTTAATCCAATATTTTTATATGGTGGGTACTGAAAGGATTTTGAAGGATATCAGATCACCCTGCTGTCAGATACAGAGCTGCAATATAACTTAATTTATGCTGAATTCCACGTACTGATACCTAAGGTAAGTAGAATATGCACCAAGCAAAGGAAAGGATTTTCAGTCCCACTCAACAGTTTCCCCCTTTGACTGATTTGCAGCTATATCTTTATATTTATTTATTTATTTTAGATTTTATTTTTATTCATTTGACAGAGAGGCACAGCGAGAGAGGGAACAGAAGCAGGGGGAGTGGCAGAGGGAGAAGCAGGCTTCCCGCGGAGCAGGGAGCCTGATGCGGGGCTCGATTGCAGGACCCCGGGATCATGACCTGAGCCGAAGGCAGACGCTTAACGACTGAGCCACCCAGGCGCCCCTGCAGCTAAATCTTTAAGATGCAAAAGTGTCTCTTCTGATGTGACTGAATCCTGCCAATTAGTATCAAGGTCTGGGAGAGGCAGTCAGACTATCAGGAATTGAAGTAGGTTTTCAAAGGACCTCACATGATTGTAAAAATGATACAGAGACCGCAGTGTTACACATAACAAATGATGCACGTGTGTGTGTAGATGGGTGAATGAATCGATGGATGGAGATATAATTATTATTACATATAATTGTAATTAAGAGATATTATACACTATAATATATACATACTGCACTTGTAAACATACATGGGTGGGTATGTAATTATACTGAAGAATTCTGCCCCATAAATATATTCACTTTCCTTTCATCTCAGTAGCAAAGTTACAAGACTATATTATGCCTGGATATATGTGACTGACAAACAAGTCATTATTTTTCTTCAGGATTTGCATTAATAAAAATCTGCTCACGGTCCTCGCCCCTGTTTGATGGAAAATGATTGTTAGTGCTGCTCACTTCTCCCTCCGTACCTTGCAACCGCCCTGCAGATTGGAGAGACAAGGCAGGCCTAATGGTTCTAGCTCAAAGACTCTACCTGTTGCTATTGACAGACTTTATTCCTGGGAGAAGATACGAACTGGCAGCTGGCTGTGACACTTTGTGAACTAACATTGACATCTGGGTTGGCACCATAACAGTATTTACAGCTCAGGAGATACATACAGTCAGATTATGAGAGATCCAGGAATTTTTGAGGTAAAATGGAAAATAATATACAAATTACAAACATGATCAGAATATAAAATGATTTAAAAAATAATTTCAGTACTTAGGATCGCTTTTACTAAATATCTGCTCTATATGAAACATCAACATATGGCATATGTTTGCAAAGAGTAAGGGGAGTGCAGAGAACAGAAGATGGTCATGCAACTGTAGAGCTGCTCATGCACACTAGATTTTCTAATAGCCCACTATGACACAAAAAGAAAGGCAGAAAGAGATAAAGAAAGAAAGCAATTTTGAACAATGCGGAATATAAATACAAAATATCACAGCACCAGCCCAAAGATTAACCTTATATCTTTGTTACTTTCTTTTGCTAGGCTCCCAAGTGGCTCTTCTTTATATTCCATGAATATCACTCTGTAAGGAGTTTAAATTGACATGTTTCAAAACAGTCACCCAAAGTGGTTAAGCCTCTAGGAAAATGACACTGGATGGCAATGAACAAGGTAGAATTTGGGGTGACTATACAAATAATACTTCGAATCTGATGACACTTTGACTGAATACTATCAGATGGAAGAAAAATCAGTTAGCCTTCTTGTCTCTATTCTAATTTCCTACTAACCACTGAAGATGCGATAATGAAAAGAATGGATTTGACCAGGCACTTACGGCTGTAGTCCCAGGGCAGTTTGCAGATTGGCATTCACCGGTCATCCGGTTGGGGATTAAGACATCGTCCCAGCAAGATGGACCCTTTGAGAAAAAACAACACGTACTTGGTGCATGAAATGTAACACAAATGTACATTTTCTAAAATCTACCGATATTGTAAAATGATAATGAAAGTAATGTGTCGTCCAGTGATTTTCAAAATATAATCTACAGAACCTGGGAGTTCTCAAGATCCTACTGGGGGATCCAGTAGATCAAAATTATTTTCACAAGCACACTAAGATGATCTTTAGCATATTGATCCAAACACATTATACATTCACATGTAGTAGTCTCCCTACTGTGGTTAATTCAATTGTTTAAAAACTGAAATACTTTTCTTAAGTTCACTGCAATTTCAATTGATGCCTTTTATTTATTTACTTTAAAGATTAATTAATTAATTAATTAATTTGTGAGAGAGAGAGAGCACGCACGAGCAGGGGTAGGGGCAGAGGGAGAAGCAGACTGCCCGCCGAGCAGGGAGCCCGATGCAGGGCTCGATCCCAGGACCCTGGGATCATGAGCTGAGCAGAAGGCAGACGCTTAACAACTGAGCCACCCAGGCGCCCAACTGATGACTTCTAAATGAAAACACCCCTGCCGTCCCACTCAAAAGGACCCTTCGAGGGCAGTCGTGAAGCCTGTGGAGGCACACGTGGGAGGGCCACCTGTCACAGCTGGCAGGCTGAGCAGGCACGGGTACCTCCTCCCTCTCCTGAGGCACAGGGAAAACCACATTTGAATGAGCACCGTGTAAACCCATAACAGTAAGGAAAATGGAAGACAGAGGGTTGGTTGAGGAGCAATTTCCAGGCATTTCTGGAAATCCGCAACAGGCTGCAGCAGAGAAGGAGGACGGGCGGTAGGTGTCCCCAGGTGCGGGGACGACAGAGCTTCCAGCAGCTGCGTTCCAGGGCCTGTGCCCAGCTGGGCAGAGGAAGGTTAGAGCCAAGAGCTGGTGGCTGTGGGGATTTTACGACCAAAGACCCCGGGGCCGAGCTGGAGGTTTTTATGAGCAGTGGCCCACCCTGCTGCACGAGCCAAACCAAGCAGCCTCCTGGCCGCGCTCCTGCACAAATCAGTGAAAACTCCGAAGGCCCAGAAGGACCTCAGCCATTCCTGGGTCTCCACGAGCGCTCACTTTCACTCCCCTGCACCAGCATACCCACACCCACAGGTGCACCAAGCACACAGATGCACACACTCACACACACGGGGACACCACACACTGACACACATCTCGCCACACTTTCATCACACACACAGTCACGCCACAGACATACCTCACACCACACACCTACCACACACGGGTGCACCAGATACACACACACACAAAAACACATAACTTGAGAGAAAAACAAGGGAAACAGAGGGAATCTGGGAATTGAGCATCCATCTCAAAGGCGCTACCTTCTGAATTCACAGATCATTAAACCAAAAGCCACTGCTTCAACCAGAAGATGGGGACGTTTTAGCGGCCTGAGACTGCTGTCCTTAGGGGGGCCGCTTCCAGGGTGGCCCTGGGCTGGCGCCTGGGAAGTTGGATTTGAGGTGCGCTCACATTCATTTATTGACACAGAGGGTTGGCAGCCTCATAAATGTCTGTGGGGACAACCTGGTTTGTGCTGAACACCTTTTGACCCCCCTGGGAGTCTGGAATTGTGGTCTGCGCTAGGGAATCTTACTGTGTATAGGACTGTTCACGGAGTCCTGCAAGCCTTTCCAGTGAATCGCCGAACCTGGATGTGTGAAGCCATCTTGGGGACCCATGACACAATGACATTGATTCATCATCAAGGGCATGTTCTCACAGCTCCACGGAAGGCTCAGAGTTCCTGATTAAGATCACATCAGTTACAGGGAATAAGAAATTTCATTTCCTTTGCGCCTCTAAGTGTAGTGAATGCATTTTCAATCCACTATAGCCACAGCGATGTAAACATCCACTTGATGCAAGCTTACAATCCTACTAATGAAAATGGACAGAAGATTATGTAACCAAATATACACGTCATGCCGCTTGGACAATGGAATAGTAAAGTCATAAATGTTAGGAACTGGATGGCCAGGGTGGAGCTGAGAGAGAAGGGAAAAAGGGGGGATTGATATCCTGCCCCTATAAGATGTTACTTTTTTATTATAAAGCCATCTGTATGTTTGATTTTCAAACATACGCATATACCCATTCGATCAAAATGACCTAAATGAAGTAAAAGAGAGATAATGGACATCGAGAACTTGATGACATTTATCAGCCTTGCTTTTCCAACTTAACATGAGAAACTCAGGGACAAGCGTGGCTAGAGTGCAGTCTCCCACATCATATTTTGATCCTTGGCTGAGGACCCACCTTGGGGGTTATGTTTCTCGGTTTGTTAATCTGTTTCTGGAGGATACTCCATGGGTATTAGGGAACAAGTTTCTTTCATTTTTAGGCAACTCGGAAAACTTTAGAGTCGAATCTGTGGCCCAGCTCTGGAAACTATATATAACTTAAAATAAATACTCGGTTTATTAATGCTACCTTGCTTTCCTATCATTTTCTTCAATTTATTTTCCTTTGCCCTCTTTCCTCATTTTTTGTAGTTCTTCTTGTTATTGGCCTCAATGTATTCTTGCAAACTTGTCAAATCCTTTTGAAGTGAGGCAGGGTATCAGGAAATAATTGTGAGGGACTCGTGGCTTCTCTTTTTTAACTCTCCAAAGTCACTGACCACTTCTAACAGGAGCATCTTCTTGGGCCTCTTCCATCCGGGACACGAGCCTCCTGTCCTTAGAACCCAGCGGTCTGGTCTCAGGCAGGACAGCAGTGTGCGGCTGGTGGACACTGACAATGAACAGTAGCATGCTTGAGGCTCAGAAAAGTCCCTGGTTGCAAAGGAAATCCATTTCGTCGTGGATAACTGTTAACTAAACAGGAAGACATTGCTTCCTTGCTCTATCAACATGGAACATTCCTTCTGAGGCTGGTTCAAGAAGCACTGACCTACTTAGACCATATGCAATGGTAAGAGATAAACCAAACGTTAACACAGCCCGGAGAAGGAGCACTAATTGTCAAATGCACGGCTTAGGTCCCATTTGCATGTCCCTGCTCAGAGTAAGATTCCCTGCCTCAAAGTCTAGGATGAATTGAAACTGTCTGTGCATATCACAGATATTTATTTTTCATCCCTTAATTTTTCAGAGTCCAAAAAGCAACGAAAGCGTTTATGCAACAATTCCTATAATCGTCGTGTAAAATAGTACTTAATCTGATAAATCTCTGTTTTGTACGAGGAAATTATAGAAAACTCGGTCACAATTTGCCCCTTGATCTCAAACCATAACCAGATAACATAAGTAATAAAACCGAATAGAATTCCAATGAATATGGGAGTTCAACATAATGAAGTAAAAGTATTAGTTTATCCATACTACTCATAGCATGGGTATTGAATGTTATTGCAATACCCATCCTGAAAATTGAAACAAATGTTCCAGTGAATTTATGCCATTACAAAGCAGATTTAATGTTGCTCCTTTCCAGTTTAGAAAATATAAAATGTTAATTGGTTCATTGTTGCATACTGCATTTTAACAGATGCACAGTGAAAACATTTATAATTAATAGCGTTTATATAGGGGTACAAAGGTCTCCTGATAACAAGATTAAAATATCACACGACAGCTGTGTCAAGGAGAGAATCCCCCCAAAATGTATTTAATCTATCAAATGTAAAGAATTGTAGAAAGACATCCGAAAAAAACAACAAACAAAAAAACATGGCAGGACAGTGTGAAATGCATGTCTTAATAAAGAATCATTTGGCTGCTTTTTAAAAACCTTTCTCTTTTTAAAAACCTTTCTCTTAAAAAACTGAGCCACCCAGGGGCACCGGGGGCCCCTGGGTGGCTCAGTCAGTTAAATGTCTGCCTTCAGCTCAGGTCATGATCTTAGGGTCCTGGGATGGAGTCCTACATCGGGCTCCCTGCTCAGCAGGGAGTCTGCTTCTCCCTGTCTCTCTGCCCCTGCCCCTGTTTGTACTCCCTCTCTGTCAAATAAATAAATAAAATCTTTAAAAAAATAAATAAAAACCTTTCTCCTTCTTTTGCCCAATACTGGTTATACAACCAAGAGAATACATAAATGATTTGAACTTCTATAGCAGGCGTGCACAAACTATGGTCTGCTGACCAAATCCGGTCCAGGGTGTGTTTCTGAACAGCAAAAACCAATTTACAAACAATGGTTGTAAATTTGTAAATGATTAAAAGGCACAAAAAGAAGAGTCTTCATGGCATATGAAGAGTAAGTGACATTCAGGTTTCCATGTCCACAAATGGACTGGAGTGGAAAATGGCAGCCGTTGCTCACTAACCTATTGTCTGTGCTGCTTTTGCATTGCAAGGACAGAAGAACACAGAGCACACGGCTCGAGAAACCTAGAATATTTACTACCTGTGCCTTTATGGAGAAAGTGTGCCAACCCTGGATCTATGGTAAATAAAAATCTTCCAAATTCATATTGCAAAGCCCTTTAAAAAACTATCACGGTAGTGTTACGGTAGCATTTTGGCCACTGCATAATGTCACCAGTTTGTAGGAGTAGCTGTATCCTGGGTCTCAAGTGAGAAATTACTTCAGTTAAAACCTTAGAGCCATTGGCTTGTGGAATCCCAGGTGTTGCTAGAACACAGGGATTCAAGTTGTTGGAATCAGTAAGAGTGGAAATCTGCAACTAGAGATGACATTTGGGGATTTCTCCCAATAATGTCATCACCAAAGAAAAACACAAAGTGGAATATTATTTAAGCACATCTATATGGCACACGTAAATCAGAAATTCAGAAAAATGACTTGATGGCATGAAAAGCAGTGACTAAATTTGTAAAGTAGGAGTCTTAAAAATTTACTTTTAAAAAAATTGTAGGACTAATCTACACATCATTTTTGCTGTCTTGCATGTCCAATCAAGTGGAAAATTCAGGTACTTAATTGGCTAATTCTTATCCAAAGATCACTGACAAGATCCAGACAGACAGTTATAGCAAAAGAG